GATGAGCCCTTAAATGTTTCTCTAATTCAAGGTTTTGATCCTTCAATAACTCTAGCTTGCCAGTCTTTGGGTCGTACAAGATTAAATAGAGTCTAGCAACAAGACACGAGATCTTGCCATCTTCACAGGGACTGAGGAGTTGAAGGTAAAATGATCTGGCAGGCTGCGGCAGCATACGAGGAAAATTCTCTTGTGGTATGACAAGATCAAATGCTTTATTCCATGAATAATCTTCTTCCATCCTCCACACATGGTACTTGTAATTCAAGATGCAAACAGTTAGATAGAGGGTGTGATTAAAGACTCCGAGGAAACTCCAAAGCCCACTGTCAGTGCCATCTTGGGGGAAGGAAATTTCCCGGAATTCTTCATCTTACACATCCAAACGATATATGACTTTTGTATGTTGTGAGTTAAGGCGAAATCCAATCCAGTAGAGGCCTCCATTGAAGTATGCACCATCTTCGTCAACGGCACAAGGCAAATAGCCAACAGTGGTCCATTTGCGACTTGTGCCAAATGGGAAAATCTCCACCAAGGTACCCAGATTATCACGTAAAAAATTATCAAGTACAAAGGTGAGTTTTGCTAATTTAAAGTGCCTTGTTTTACTACTAAACCCATATTGGTAAAGAGAGAGGTTGTATTTTCTGTTTAGTTTAGTATCTCTCCTTATTCCCTTTCCATATTGGTAATGGTATTTAATTTAAAATCTACATTTTCAAGGATTTATGATTTTCTTTTCCATATTTGTATTCTTTTCTAATTTTCCATATTCAACATTTAGGGTGCTACTAATTAACATCATAGAATAATTTTTCATTTACTCAAAAGTTACGTTTTTTTCTTTTTTTAAATAATAATAAAGATGAACGTCAAAATAGTGATCTTAATTCACAACGTTTAAATACCAATTATTAAATAAATTAAAATTAAAATGGGTGGTAAATAGTTTTTCTTTTTTCAAATATATTATTGCAATTTCATAGGTAAACGTTTGTTATTTCATAGCTGATAGATTGAAAGGTGTAAACCAATAATAAGCTTTCAATAATAAAGGTTGAGATATATCAATGAAATGGACCTTTTAAACTTTTAAAAGTTATATTTGGTTTTGGTTTAAAACTGTTCCATAAATCTCTTTTAACTCATGCAATTTTTATTATTATTTTAGGTCAAGTTAATATCCTTTAAATAAATCCAAAAGTTTAAGGTCAAAATAGACTTTTTTTTTTTTTTAAGTACAACACATGTTGGGGAGGAGATTCGAACTCACAACCTGAGGTATATGTCAATTATCACTCGCTCGTTTTGGCAGGTCAAAATAGAATTAATACCAAAATAGATATTATAAAAATTCAATAACGAAAAATATATATATATATATATATAATAATTTTGATTATTTTATTTAAAATTAATTTCCATCTAAAACTTTGCTTGTTTAGTTTGAAATTTTAGAGAACTCAGAAACAAACATTGATTTAAAACTGTTATTAATATAAGAGAAACAGACGGTTTTTATTTCTTTGAAAATTTGCTCTCTAACTTGATCAGTTCAAAACTTTATTTTAATCTCTTGTTAGATATATTTTATTTTGAGAGGATTGCATGAGCTTCTAATTTTTATTAATTTTCTCAGCTATTGAATGTTTTAATCGGTAAAAATTTTACTTAAAAATCTTTTGTATTAAAATTGTTAATCCATTTTTTTCAGTGGGTTTGTAAGTTTGTTCGAGCCGTTATTGACTCGAAAAAAAGAGTTGAAAGAATGTTATAATAATAGTAGGAATCTAAAACATGGAAAGAGTCTGGATCGTTAGTCGAATATTTAAGAGATGTTATGACAGGGAGTACACGAATGTTGTAAATTTTATTTTCTCTCACCCTCCCTTATTAAACTTATGCAATTAACTTTTAGTTATCATTAATGGCATGTTTGAGTATTAATTGCTATTTTAGAAATAATTATGTGGCTTGTATTAAAAAAAAATTTAAATAAAATTGAGAATTGAAATAATTATAGGACTCAATTGAAATTAGCAAAAGGATTGGGTACTGTACTAGGGTTACTTTACCCTTTCTTTCGCTTTTAAACCCGCAGAAGACTTAATTAATACTGTGCTTTCAATGGAAGACTGTTAATTAATACTTTCACTTTATGTATGCATAATATAATTTAGTATTAGTGTGTTCAAAACCAAATATAATTTTGTGAAAAAAAAAACGATTGAATTATCAGTATAAAATTACAATAAAGATAATGAAACTTAATTGATTTAATTAATTTTAAAATAATAATTTACTATATATTTAAACACACATGCGTTGGAGGGAAAAAAATCATCTTGCCGCGCAGAGGATGGGGAAGGTTCTCCTTGTGTGGGTCTTGCCCTGTGGATCAGAGAGATGCCATCTCTAGTTGTAAAATATTACGGAGACACCCTATAGCAGTGTGGCTGTCGTACGGATTGACATTAGGCATCCGACATGTTCACCCTGTATGTCGAATCCCCAACCTATAAATAAAGAGCTTCACTTCTGTATCAGGTTTCGCATTCTATTTTGAACTCCCTATTAAACCTAAGTTTAAACTAACTTGGACGTTGGGGTGTTTGACTGTTTTGTATAGGTCTTTCCCAACTAAGGTGCTAAAGATTCGTCATGCCTCAATCAGATTTTGACCCAACCTAATTTTGTTGCATAAACATCCTACATGGATTTTATTCAAATACAATGACTCCCAATGAAAAAAAATTTATGGTATCTTATTATGTTTTTTCCATACTTACTTCTATTTATCATTATACAGAAGTAATTCAAATGTACTAAAAACAAAGACTAATCAAGATTACTGGAAAAAATTATCCTAAGTATATGTTCCTACTAATATTCAACCACTGGTAATAATGCTATTGGAAATTTTATTTAGAAAGCTTCGGTTTATTGAAATAAAATAATGTATTTATTTATTAATTGTGTCTTTTCATAAGCATGTGTTGTGTCTATTTATTTGATAATTAAAAATTGAGATGAACAAGTATTTAAAGCTATCGTGAGTGTAATAGGTCAGACATATATTCAAATAAATTCATATTTAGATTAAATAATAAACAGTTAGGGATAAAATAATTTTAGTTTAATTGAAATTTTAGTTCATCAACTTTGGTTATTATGTTTATTTAGTTTATAAATTTTAAAGATTTTTAATTACAGTTCGGATAATTTGACCTAGGTCGGAGGCCGACTATATAAAATAAGAAAGAATGAAAAAAAAAATCAGTTTAAACTATATTATTACTATGTTCCATCCGCGCATCAAATTTATATGTAGCAACATTAGAGAATCCAGCATATTATATTTTAATTTTAAAATTATGATTATAGTTTTTATTTATTTATTTTACAAACTTACAATATTCTAAATTAATCACATCCACTAACATAAGTATAACTTAGAGATAATTAATACCTACTATTTCTTTGAGGTTGAAGGTTCACCCCAACTTTATCTATCTCATTTATTTTATCCCTCATATTATATTTATATTATTTTGTCATTATATTATTCCCGTTTTTTAGTTATAATGTGTGGAAATGAGGATTTGAACTCTCAACCTCATAATTGGATATATGTGGTTTAATCTGTTAAGCTATGTCCTGATTCACATTATATTTTTATCGTGGATAAAAGTTAAAAGTCGCTGATGATAAATTTAAATAACATATATTTTAATGAGTGAAACAAATTTAAACCAGTAATTAGACTATTTGAAGGAGGAAAATCTCTAATTCACCAGACATCCAGTAATTTTTTTCTCAACTAATTTTAATAATAAAATAAAAAAATTAAAAGTTAAAACATAAATAGCTAAGTTACAACTTTTTAAACTAAAATTTATAAAAACATGCGAACAACATACACTATTATGAAGGATGTTTTTTTAATATTGTTTTTAATTAAACTTATTTTTAAAATAATGCTGATTTATTAGAAAAAATGGAAAAAATGCAACTTTGGAAACTTATTCCAAAAATATTGCTATTGAAAAAAAAGAGTTTGGTCGTCTCGACCATTTCCCGCCTAGATGGTGGTCTCTCGACCATAAATGGCGCCACGTCAATTTTTTTTTTTAAAACGAAAGTGTGGTCGTCGTCTTACCATCTTACATGGTCGTCTTTGACCATCTCACATGAGACAAGAGACGACTATCCAGATGGTTGGTTGATTTTTGGAAAAAAAATTTTGTTTTATATTATATAATAAGTAAGGTAAAAAATTGTGGTTGTACTGTTGCCTAGTCAACCCTTCTATCCAGGTTCAATTCTTGGAACATACGTTCGAGTTACATCTCTTTTCCATTTCCATTCCAGAGTTTTTATGTGTTTCCACGCCCCTTCGAGACCCGAAAATTGAACAACTTTTCTTCGGAAGGCATACAAGATTCGTCATTGCAAAAAGGATAATAGTAACCCCACCATTAACTACTTCATTTATGAATTTCATAGTAATAGAAATACATGTCCTATCGCGACAAAATTTGTAACTTGCTATCCAGAGACGATCACACTTCCGTTTTAGAAAAAATTTCACGTGGCGCCAGGTGGGAAAACATGAGACAACCAAACCCCTTTTTTTTTTCACGTGGCGCCAGAAACATTTTTTTCTAATAAATCAACATTATTTTAAAAATAAGTTTAATAGAAACACCATTGAAAAAAAATCCCCTATTATGAAAGCATATTTAGCCAAAATAACAAATATATAAAAAAAAAATCTAAACCATAATAAATTAATAAATTAAGTTTTAACTAATTTACAAAGAAGCATCTAGAACATCTCCGTGCAGTGGAAGCATCCAACGGCCCACATTCCATAACGAACAATACAAAGGCTAGAGAGACGGAGTTCTAGACCCTTCTTTGCTAAACGCGGACGATCCGGGTTCAATCTGAACCGTCCATTTCACAACCCTTTCTTTCTATATAAATTCCATTCCTCTCGGAAGAGTTCTCAACAAAAGAAGAAAAAGTGAACAAAGTTTGCAGTTCTTGTTCAGAACCTTCGTTTAATCGCTGAAACTGAAAGCTTCGATTCCACGAAATTTGGGTTCCGAGTTTCGATCGGGGTTTCAATTGACTCGGAGAAGGTTTCATCATCTGAGACGAAGCGAGGATGTTCGGAAGAGCTCCGAAGAAGAGCGACAACACGCGGTACTATGAGATCCTTGGAGTCTCCAAGAACGCGTCGCAGGATGATTTGAAGAAGGCCTACAAGAAGGCTGCCATCAAGAATCATCCTGACAAAGGCGGTGATCCGGAGAAGGTACCGGAATTTATTGAGATTTTTTTTATTATTTTTTTTCCAGTTTCTGTTGAATGTTACTCGGAATTTTGTGAGGGTGCTACTGAATCATGATGTCAAGAATATTCTTCTTTTGAATGTGGATTTTCAATTAATCTGTGTGAACACTGGTTTTGTTTGTGGCGTTTTTTGTTGATCACGATCGTAGTGTCGATACTGTAACTCAACAATCTGGAATTGTGTAAATTGCCATGGATTTCGAAATTGCTATGTTTTAAAGGTTATTTCTCCCTCTAGCGTCATTATCCGCCGTGAAGGATGAGGCTGTGAACTGGGCAGACCTCAGAATTTACTGGGACTTTAGTATAATATAATTTACACTTTAGGGTGCTTCGACTTGTGGTTCTTGCTTATGATACTCGAGTTTAATGTACGATTGATTGCCGTTGATTCATTTTAAGCTACTTTTGATGGGATGCGTTGTGTATGTGCTGATGGAAAACGCCTTTGTTATTGCAGTTTAAAGAGTTGGCTCAGGCTTATGAGGTTCTTAGCGATCCTGAGAAGCGTGAGATCTATGATCAGTATGGTGAGGACGCGCTTAAAGAAGGAATGGGTGGTGGAGGTGGTCATGACCCCTTTGACATCTTCCAATCCTTCTTTGGCGGGAGTCCATTCGGTGGTGAGTGTCATGAACATATACCATGTGATTTTGGTTGTATTATTTCTGAAATCATAGTAGTATGATAAGTTTCATTGTTAGTCTTGGCACGGTGGTCAGGGCTTGGAATGTTTGAAGATACCGAGCTCTTAGATTGAAGAAGCTCACAAATTGAAAATTTAATGATTTTTAACTTTTGTTCACATGATAATGCAAGAACTGAAATGCTCCTCTGATACCTATTATAGAAGAAGAATCTTAAGTCTCATTGTTGGTATGCAGGTGGTAGCAGCAGAGGCCGACGTCAGAGAAGGGGAGAAGATGTGGTTCATCCCCTCAAGGTCTCCCTTGAGGATCTCTACCTTGGAACTTCCAAGAAACTTTCTCTGTCGCGGAATGTCATCTGCTCAAAATGCAATGGGTTAGCCCTGTTTCTAGTCCTCTTTCGGATTTCAGCCTTGTTGTGCTCTGATTTTTTAATGGGTTCTGACGTTTGTTGATGATGGTGGTGTTGTTTCAGTAAGGGATCAAAATCAGGTGCTTCAATGAACTGTTCTAGCTGCCAAGGAACTGGAATGAAGGTTACAATCAGGCAACTCGGCCCGTCGATGATCCAACAGATGCAGCACCCTTGCAATGATTGCAAGGGCACTGGAGAAACAATCAGCGACAAGGACCGGTGCTCACAGTGCAAGGGGGAGAAAGTTGTTCAGGAGAAGAAGGTTTTGGAAGTCATTGTGGAGAAGGGTATGCAGAATGGACAGAAAATTACATTCCCAGGAGAAGCAGATGAAGCTGTATGTTGTGGATGAATCATTCTTCAGCTGCATCATTGTTTCTGTTTTCCTTTTAAATGGTTCTGTATTCATTGGTTGTGTTTCTGTTCTTGTACAGCCTGATACTGTCACTGGAGATATAGTTTTTGTTCTTCAGCAAAAGGAACACCCGAAATTCAAGAGAAAGGGGGAGGACTTGTTTGTGGAGCACAGTTTGTCGCTCACTGAAGCCCTCTGTGGCTTACAGTTTGTTCTCACTCACTTGGATGGCAGGCAGCTTCTCATCAAAACAAATCCTGGAGAAGTTGTAAAACCTGGTAAGGAGAGCATTGATTCTGTTCTAATTTATCAGCTCATAAAACTTTTTAAGTTCAGTGACATTTTAACTTGTTACCATAGCAGACAGATGATTTTGAGTTCAATAGCCATGTTTTTCTAGTTTAATTAGTAGAAAATAATTAGTCCATGGGGAGGGAATCATCCGTTCTCGTTTTCTTGTTTCACATTCCTGTTTTTAGACATTTTCAAATTTGTCTAGAAATTCTAGAAACAATGGAATCAAGTGACTCTTAGACAGACTTATATATTACATTATACCGAATTCCCCCACTGAGTTTTTGTGCTTGGAACTCCAGATTCATTCAAGGCGATTAACGACGAAGGGATGCCAATGTACCAGAGGCCATTCATGAAAGGGAAGCTCTACATCCATTTCAGTGTGGACTTCCCTGATTTCTTAAGCCCAGAGCAGATCAAAGCTCTGGAAGCGGTCTTACCATCGAAACCATCATCCCAACTGACTGACATGGAGCTGGACGAGTGCGAGGAGACAACCATGCATGATGTCAACATTGAAGAGGAGATGCGGAGGAAGCAGCAGCAGGCACAAGCCGAAGCCTACGAGGAAGACGACGATATGCACGGTGGAGCACAGCGGGTACAGTGTGCCCAGCAGTGATCCTTGTTGAGCTGAAATTAACCTGAAATAACAAAATGTAGTAGTGTTTGTCTGAGGATGAATAGTTGGGAACTCTCCATCTTGTTAATGGAACGGTGGTTTAATTGTGGCATTTGGAATTTTTCAGATTCCGAAAGCCGTTACAGACGCAATATATAAACCAATCTGGTTCTGAACTAAGTGCTCTATTATAATTTATATATAGTTTTAGTTCTAAGCTCATTGTTTGCCAGCCATTTTGATTCACATATTTTTTTAAGGTTAAATTACAACTCTCTAAATTGTGTCCAAATAGATATTTCAAGTAAATTTGAATGGGGTATAATATAATAGGTCGTCTCTAAATTCATATTTAAATTAAATTAGGTCTCTAAATTTGTCCAATATGGCTTGTTAGACTTTCATCAATTTGATATTTTTCTGAAATTTGTGGGCAAAGTAGACAAGTCAAGTAGAAACCTAACAATAATATGGAATTATTAGAGTAATAAAATTATTTAGGCACAAATCTTATTTAGTGATTATATTTGTAATGTTCAAAGTTTAGAGACTGTTATTAATATACTGTACTAATTTTTATTGTTCTACCATTAAGGTTAAAGTTGGAAATAAATATTTGAATAGAAATAAATATCTTATTCATTAAAGCTATAGAAATTAATACCTAAAATTTTAGGGTATTGAATTTGTGTGTTCTTTTCCTAAAATGAAGAAATATTACTAAGTGTTGTTAGATAAGACATTATTAAAAAGAAATAGCCAAATAATGTCATTTATCCAAAAATAACTATGTTGAAGAAAAAAAAAATCCCCGACCTTAGGTCTCAAACTCATCTCTACCGTATATTATTGTAATAAGAATAAATTTAATATAACATATGTATATATAAACAGATCGAATGTCAAAATCCGAAAATGTACCTAAGTCAAATTCTTGATTAAAATAGTTCAAATAAAATATGCACCGGATGTTGTTATATCTTTTTATATATTAACATGATCATAGTTCAACGAAGTGTCTTAATTCTTTTTTGAGGTTAGAAGTTTGAATTTCCATCCTCACATTTGTTGTAGTCTCAATAACGAATCCAACATTTTTTTAGGGGTTTCACTTAAAATTGAGTATAAATAATTTACTAGTTAATAGATAATAAATATAAAATTTGTTATTTATAAGAATTATAGTTTTTGTATGCAATTAAGTCTTTCAAAATAAAATATTTAAAAGCTTAAAATATTTTTATTAATTCCTATTTATATTTGATATAAAAAAACCAAAACCAAAACCCTATTATATATGCTAATTATTAGATAATTAATCTTCAAATCGTCACTTTTTAGACTGCAAACTTAAAATTTTTTTTTTTTTTTGTTGAGATGAGACAATACCGAACCACTAAAACTATGTGGTTGTCAAATGCAAAATTATATAAAATAAGAACAATCCAACTTGCACAGAGAAGTCAGGCAAGCACGTGCCACTGTACCAAGAGAGGATCCTTGATAATTTATTAACCAATAATATATATTAAAAACCATGGCTCAAAAATTATCATCGGACCTAATTATACAAAACACTCTCTCAAAATAAAAGCTACCAGAGTTATATTTCAATTGGGATGATTAAAACTCAAGATCATAGCTAGGCTCCTTTTATAATACTTGGTGTACACCCATCATTTAACTTTCTCACGCGACAATTCACTCTTATAATATTTTGTCAAAATTCAACGAAGACGAGAATCGTTTTGTTTTTGAAATCAATCCTTCAAATCAATACAAATAAAGTGCATCAAATAAAAAAAATGATGCTAGGTGAAATCGACTCAGAAATAGAGTTCGAGTTCTAAGCAACGACAATATGATTGTTGCAGATCATCGATAATTAGCTTCAGAAGAGTACCATCGATGACATCGAGTTTGTTTCGGAAGGAAAGAGTGACTAACAACACGAACAATATTAGAGATATCATTGTGACGAGGGAAGTATGGATTCAAAGATGTGCCACGGAGGATGGATTTTGGAAAGAAGAAGATTAAGGTGTGGGTAAAAAAAATCCCAAAATCTAGGGCGAAAACTAACAAATAAGGAAAATATAACAACCGTAACTAAATAAACAAAAAACTCTCACTATAGATTTTCAAATCTGATTCCAA